CATAGTGTGCATGGGTCTGATAATGGCAGTGCTTGGCCAGGTGGGTGCAGAGAGGGGAGGTGTGATGAAGGGTCTGTGCCCCTCCCCCAGTATAGAGCAAATGCTGGCAGCCAACCCGGGCAAGACCCCGATCAGCCTTCTTCAGGAGTATGGGACCAGAATAGGGAAGACGCCCGTGTACGACCTTCTCAAAGCCGAGGGCCAAGCCCACCAGCCTAATTTCACCTTTCGGGTCACCGTTGGCGACACCAGCTGCACTGGTGAGGAAGGCTTGGGCAGCCTGGCTGGGGTGTGCATTCACAGGGCCCCATTGGCTTTATTACTTGGAATCTCTTCATGGTCCTCTTCTCCAAGACCAGCGAGGGAAGGAGAGATTTTAGGGGAAAAATCACTGACTGGATTGGGAGAACAGGTCTGTGAGGAGGTACCTAGGACTTAGGAGAGTTAGAGGAGCAAGCAGGACTGCCACAGTGATCGGGCAGATCGTTGTCATCCTAGAGGAAAAAGGAGGTAAATCAAATCTCAGTGCAGCATTTGGGGAAGTGAGTGCCTGCTGTGCTGGACTCTGTTCTAGGTGCTTAATCAAGTTCCCACTTAATCTTAAACCTTGGTCGAATCCAGTGATGTAGCTGGTAGTATTTTCATGTTGAATGTGAGGAAACCAAGAGAGAGAGATCCAATGGCTGGGGCAAGGTCACAAACCTAGTAGATGGCAGAACCAGGCTTTGACTCTGGAGCCTACATTTTTTCTATTTTCCCAGCAATCTCTATTCAAAGAAAGTGCTCCCCAGAGGAAAGTAGGGCAGAGAAAAAACTTCCAGGTGGCTAACCTCAAGGACAGTCAGTTCTACCTGGCATGACTTGAATTGGGGAACTTGTGGAAAGATAAGGACCCTTCCTTCCAGCAGTTAGAGTAACATTTTCAGCCTTGGGCAAGGGGAGGTTGGTGAGATGGGGCTTGGTTGACTCCCTCTGGCTGCGAGGAGAGAGGCTGTGGGATGCTGGTTTCTCTTCCATCCTTCTAGTGACCTCCAGTATTGCCCACACCCCCTCTCTCAGGTCAGGGCCCCAGCAAGAAAGCAGCCAAGCACAAGGCAGCTGAGGTGGCCCTCAAACACCTCAAAGGGGGGAGCATGCTGGAGCCAGCCCTGGAGGACAGCAGGTGAGGGAGGAACGGCCGAGGATCCTAGAGGCTCTGTCAGGAACCCAGGCCCTTGCGTCAGCCCCTCTGCCCCATAGGCTTCGCTTGGTGACACTGAACTACCTTGACGTGGCTGCTTCCTGAGAGCTTCCTCTGAAACCCGAGCAGGATGCTTCCAGGGCTCCTGCTGCTGTGAGGGATTCTGGGAGGCAGTGGCCAGCTGCAGTGTGGGGTTGTCGCTGTGGTTTGGGTCCCAGGTTGGGCCTGGGGAGGGAGAGGGGTGGAGGCTGAGGCTGGAGGGGGTTGCTCCCCAACATACTTCTCTCCAGCAAGATGTTGTTCCCTCTTCCGCACTCAGGTTGGTGTTGTTTGCTCCCACAGTTCTTGGGTAGGAAGAAACACCTTTCCCACTTTTTTTAGTATTTTTCGTCAAGGGTTTGACACCAAAAGATCTCAGGTGGAACTGGTGGTTGAGCTTCCCTGAGTTTTTGGCTTCAGTGGAAGAGATTTTCTTAGGGGAGGGCAGGTCAGGAGGACCTGGGTCCCCCACCTTTTATTCCCCACCACCACCCCATGTGGGTGTGAATCAAAGGCCCCCTTCCCCTCGGGAAGTTCTTTTTCTCCCCTAGACTCGTCGCTGCCTGAGGACGTGCCGGTTTTTACAGCTGCAGCGGCTGCTACTCCCGCTCCATCTGCTGTCCCAACCAGGTATCTTGTCTCCCCTGACTGTCTGAGGAGGGTGGAAAGGGGTCCTGGCTCCCGGCCTCCCAGCCCTCAGACCCAGGCTGGTCAGGCATGAGGAAGTCTGAGAGTGAACAGCGGATGGAATAGTTGGGGACCAGAGTTTGAAGAATTTGCACCAGCTGGTAAGCTCTTGAGACAGGAGGTAATTTATAATCTGGCAGTACCATGTGGATGGTATTTGACCACGTTAAAGGTCTTGCTGGTCCCGTTTTCTTCTGAATTGGCCATGTGATGGTTCTGTGTTTGAGTCCCATCAGGTGTTTCTGGGACTGGATATACCCTCCTCTCCAGTGTCCTGTCTAGGTGGTGATCAAGTGTTCCAGAAAATCAAAATGAGCCTGGGACCTGAGGAGACCTTGCCGGGGGGAGGGGAGGGCCCTTTGTCCTCAGGAGCTCGCCCATGGAGGTGCAGCCCCCAGTCTCCCCTCAGCAGTCTGAGTGCAACCCGGTCGGTGCTCTGCAGGTGTGGCGGGCTTGATGTTTGGAGAGACAGCTGCCTGCCTGGTGGGGAGCAGGGAGATGGCAGTGGGGAAAACAAGAGCAGGGCGGAGGACTCCTGGGCGGCTGCAGAGGAGCCAGCCCCCTCAGCTTTGGTCCTGGGCCCTTTGTCCTCAGGAGCTCGCCCATGGAGGTGCAGCCCCCAGTCTCCCCTCAGCAGTCTGAGTGCAACCCGGTCGGTGCTCTGCAGGTGTGCTGCACCCTCATTTCCCGTGCCTGCCTGCCTTCGCTTGTACCCGGGGCTGTGGGGGAAGCTGTGGGGGGTGGCTACCCTGTTCTGAGGGCTTTTCCCACCCACCTCCCTTTATTCCTCCTCTAGCCTGGAACCTGAGACTCCCAGGATGGGAGGGGGAGAGGATGTGAGGACGCCTCTCTCACACTCTTGCGCACCCTTGTTTCTCCCTTCCAAGGAGCTGGTGGTGCAGAAAGGCTGGCGGTTGCCTGAGTACACGGTGACCCAGGAGTCTGGGCCAGCCCACCGCAAAGAGTTTACTATGACCTGCCGAGTGGAGCGTTTCATTGAGATTGGTAACTGGGCAGAGGGGAGTGCTTGTAGTGACTACCCCGCAGCACTCCAGCCCTGGCCATGGGCAGCTCCCAGCTTCTCTCTACGCTCCTGGCTGAGACCCTGGCTTGCCTGCTGCTTCCTTGCACCCTTTCTTGCCCTCCTCTTCTGGCCGGCCAGGTTCTCGGGTGCCTGGCAGGTCCTGAGCCACTGAGGGGACCCTCAGCCCAAGTTTAAGCTGGGTGGAAGCAATGGGTCTATTGGGAACCATAATTCAGCAGCCCTCTCCCCTGTGCAGGCAGTGGCACTTCCAAAAAGCTGGCAAAGCGGAACGCAGCGGCCAAAATGCTGCTTCGAGTGCACACAGTGCCTCTGGATGCCCGGGACGGGAACGAGGCAGAGCCCGAAGACGATCACTTTTCCATTGTGAGTGGCTTGTGGGCCATGCCCCATGCTCCATCCTCCATGCCAGGGCAGGGCACTGAGGACTCGGGTCTGACTTGAAAGTGAGCCTCCTGGGCCCCAGGCCTACTTCTGCCCATTTTCCTTCTGGACCCAGGGATTCTTGAGCCCCCTTTCAGCCTCAGCTGTAGGCCTGCGTGGTGAGTGCTTTGGGGGAGGGAGCTGGCCCAGGGCAAGGGACCTGTAGGCTTCTGTTATTGGAATAAGGAAGACTGCCTGACCATCTGGTCCACAGTCTAGTCATCAGAGGGGGCCACACAGGGGTTGGGCTTCCTGAGTGGCTCAGTGGTAAAGAATCCGCCTGCCAAGCAGGAGACACAGGTTCGATCCCTGGATCAGGAAGATCCCCTGGAGGAGGAAATGGCAACCCACTCCAGTATTCTTGCCTGAAAAATTCCATGGACAGAGGAGCCTGGTGGGCTATAGTCTGTGGGGTTGCAGGAGAGTCGGACACGACTTAGTGACCAAACAATCCAGGGATTGCCTGGCAGGTGGGGCTCAAACAGGAGGAAGCATTCTTCAGGCTTTTCTCTCCTTGGGTGTAGACTGTCTCTTCAGTGCCTGGTTTCAGAGCCCCTGGCTGCATCCTTCCCCCGTCCCTGTCTTGTCAGGGTGTGGGCTCCCGCCTAGATGGACTTCGGAACCGGGGCCCAGGCTGCACCTGGGATTCTCTGCGGAATTCGGTGGGAGAGAAGATCCTGTCCCTCCGCAGCTGCTCACTGGGCTCCTTGGGCGCTCTGGGCCCTGCCTGCTGCAGTGTCCTCACTGAGCTATCTGAGGAGCAGGCCTTCCATGTCAGCTACCTGGATATTGGTATGGCTAGTCGGGGGGCCGGGGGATGGTGGGGACTAGACCAGAGCAAGTACGGATGGGAATGAGGGCTCGGGAGGGCATGAAAGGGACATGGGCCGTCTCAGTGCTGCCTTCCTGCCCGACCCTGCCTCCCTCTTCTCTCGGTCTGCAGAGGAGTTGAGCCTGAGTGGGCTCCGCCAGTGCCTGGTGGAGCTGTCCACACAGCCGGCCACTGTGTGCCATGGCTCCGCCGCTACCAGGGAGGCCGCCCGTGGCGAGGCTGCGCGCCGTGCCCTGCAGTACCTCAAGATCATGGCGGGCAGCAAGTGAAGCCCCGGTGGGATTCATGAACCACAGCCTCCGCTCCCTGCTCTTCCTGCCCCCGGCCTGTGCGCCTGCCCAGCGCTGGTACCCCCTGGAGGTGCCACCTCTACCTCTGACACAGACTGCAGGTTGAGGGGAGCACAGGGCCAGGAGCCAGGGACCACAGGGCCTCAGCTGGCCCCGGTTCTGCCGTCATGTAACTGGTGATGACCAAGGGGAATGAAATTGGGGGCTCTCCCATTAGAGCCCCAAATAAATGTGCTGCTTTTTGGATTCATCAGTCCTGGTCTGTTTCCCTGAGTGGTCAGCCTCAGAGGGGGTTAGTGCCAGGTCACATCCCCGGTGCACCCCCCCCCCCTCCATTTTGCTCCCAACACGTCCCCATGTTTGCCTTTCTGGTGGGTGCACTGACGTCTGGGCACACCATGGCCTGCGTTCCTGGAGAGTTGGGTTTAGCGGAGGTGGGGGAGGCTGTGGCTCTTGTCTTGGGGCTCCCTCCCATGTCTCATGCAGATGCAGACACATGCACACGGATTCAGAAGCCAGACAGCTTTATTTGCGGGGGATACATGGCAGTTTGGGGTGTGGGCCTTGCATGCACACCTCAGAGGATGACATGTCACTTCTTCCCAAAGCGCTGAGGGGCAGCCAGGCTCCAAAAGGGGGAACTCGGCCCTTCTCCAGCTCGAGGAGTCAGTCTTTTGTTGCTCCAGGAGCCCCGGGTGTTTCTGCCAAACCTTAGGAAAGATCCACCCTCAGCTATAGGTCCTTCCAGATCCCCCCTTTCCTCCTCTCCTCCCACTCCTCTCCCTTCAGCCCTGGCCTTGCCTCTGTCCCTCCTAGACTCACCTCTGGGGCTGAAACAGGAAGGCTGGACTCCGGCCAGGTCTCTGCATGGCCTGGAGCAGGGAGCGCAGGAGCGACCTGGGGGTCTGGGCATCCTGTGGTGGGTGGGCACCACTGTCTTCCTCCTGTGGTATGGAGCCATCCGGGAAGGAAGATGGGTGAGGGCCTTGGGCATTTAGATCACAAGGGGAAGGGAGTGACCTCCAGGGCAAGTTGTCGGAGGCTAAGGAGTCATTTCCTCAGATGTGAGGACCCAGTGACCCTGGCAGCCAGAGTATTTGAACCTGGAGTGTAAGTCTCAAGCTGTTGTTGTTAGTCAGTCGTGTCCAACTCTTTGTGACCCCATGGACTGTAGCCTGTCCCTGGGATTCCCCAGCAAGAATACTGGAGTGGGTTGCCATTTCCTTCTCTAGAAGTCTCACGCTGAGGTCCGGGAAAATGGTGAGAAGGGGACGGGCATGCTCACTTACCATGAAGATCTGGTCTCCTCCATCCCGGCCCCCTGGTCCTTCAGCGTGGCTCCACTCTGTCACTAACAGCAACACCAGCAGCAGCGCTGCTGCCTGCCTGGCATCCATGCTGCCATCTGCCTTGCTGTGGCCACACCCGCCTCTTATACCTGCTGTCCCCCTGTTCCTCACCTCCCACAGCCGCCTGAGGGGGAATCTAGAGAAGGCAATGGAAATGCACAGCTCCATTAAGAGCCGCCTGGGACCCCCCTCCCCGGCCCCTGTGGGACTTCGTGCTCTCAGCCTCCGGTCCCAGCCCCTAAGCCTGGAGTTATAGACTTTATTAGATGCATAAATCCTGTCTCCAGAGCTCAAGAAGCATCATTAATTGCAGATGCTTTGTCAGAGCCCTGGGGGGCCTTCAAGAACTCCCAATCCCTCAACAGGTTGGAGCGCTCCAATGGATCACCTCCTCTCTTTGCTAGCTTGTAGAATAAAACACAGAGAAAGCCCTGTCAGGCTAGGCATCATGTGCTGGAAAAGAAGGAGTAAAGAGCCAGGGTGATCCCATCTGGGGACTAGGGAGGTTGCAGGCGGGGTCTCCTGGCCCTCCTGGCCCAAGAGGCATGCCTCTTGGAGGGTTAAAAATGGAGTCAGTACTCTGAGATTTGCCTGTGGAGAGAAAAGTGAGGTACAGCAGACAAAGAGGTTTCAGAGCCTCCAGAGAGTGGAGATTGCATCAGATGTTTGTAGCAGACCCGTCTTCACCAGCGCTGCCCTGGACCAGCCCCACTTCGGACTCCGGAGCCGCGCTCTGCAGCTGAAGCACTGCTGCCACCCTGTGGTCGCCGCTGTGCATGGTCGGCCTGGCCATTTCCTTTCTCTGGAGAAGAGTTCAATGGCCCTGATTTCAGAGTCCCAGGAAGGCAGGGGCAGGATACTGGGGTTGGATTGTTGTTTTTGTCCACCTCCCTCTAGTCAGCCCATCCTCTGCCTGGCTCTGCCTCTGACCGATTGGGGCAGAATCCTCCTTAGGAAACATCAGTCACTGCCTCTTAGGAAGTATTCCCTTCCAAGTCACCCTTCTGATCTTAGAGTCCTTCCTCAGTACCCCCACCAGTGTGGTTCTTTAGTGGATGCCAGAGAGGTGTCATGACATAAAGGGTCTATGAATCAGCCTTGGGCAAGATGCTTAGCTCTCTGTAAGTGAAGTTTCTTCACTTAAAAAACGTGGCAGCATTAAAAAGAAGCACTTTCAAAGGGGAACATTATTTGAGACACTTTTGGTAACCCTGGCATAGAGCAGGGGTCCTTACAACACTAGCTGTGATTGTCTTTGCATATCTGGGTCGGTCCTGGAGAATTTACCATCTCCTGAGAAGTCCAGACAGAATCATCCTTGCAAGGCGTTGGCTTTCATCTTGTGGCCTCCACCAGGGGTTTGCCCCACTCTGAGTGGACCTCTCATCTCTCACATTACAAACCTTTCCCATGTTCGAAGACAGATTGCGATTCTTCCACTCTGTAGAGTTGGGAAGCATTCACTTTCTTTAAACTGAGGCATCTAGAAACCAACTCACACTTTGGAAAGGTAGATGAGAGCAGGTTTTGATCTGGATGGCCTAGATACTCATTTCTATCCATGCAACCTAAGTTAGGGTGCACCTTTCTGTAAGGTTTGTCTCCTGGATAGTCCCAAGCACAGAACCTGACATTCATCATCATTGTATCTTATAGTTTCACCACTTCTTAGAAGGAACTATCAAGTCCATGGGTAGATGGTTTTCCATGGGAAATGGATTGTGCACCGTATTGAGGTCCTTGTCCGTTCTTATCTGACAAAGTTCAGAGGAGCAGGGTATGAGGTGGGTGGGGTGCTGCAGAGGCAGCTCCTGGGTTGAAATGTTTTAATCCAGCTCTTAACACTTCACTGTGTGCCTTGGTCAAGTGTCTCAACCTAAACCTCATCATCCGTAACAGGAGGCAACTATTTGTTATCAAGAGCGCTTGTGGACGGTAAGTGACTTGATGAATGCAAAGCATCTAGTACTCCACCAAGCAGAGCGGGCTCCCCAAACACGTTTATCCCGTTATTTCTCTGATCACCACTTACAAATGGATCTGAGCTGAGGCTGATTCACAAAGTAGCTGTTCTAGCTGGTTCCTGTGTCCAGGATGGAGGTGATGGGTCTCTCCTTTGGCGAGAAGTTAGAATGGGTTAATTTTTCTAACTTGGGAAACTGTCCTGCTTTCAGTTTCATCTCAGCCTCCAAAACCCCTCAGTCTTGGCTTCGGTATTTGGCCTTCAGCAGCTTCCTTTCCCACTCTCTGGATTCTCATGTGCTCCTGACCACAGTGAAGACCATACTGCTTTTCCTGCTCTCCCAGAGACTGGAGCTCCCTGTTTGTGTCAGTTGTACCAAACATCAGCCGTGAACAGCATGTAAATCACCTCTCCTCCCGGAAACTCCCCTGGAGGCAGCTGGCTATCTCCCAGTCTGCTTCTTCAGCCTGCTCACCCTCCTCATTTGTGGTATCAAGGAATACATAGGTACAAGACACTGGTAGTGACTGCCCCACACCTCCTCACAATTCCTGAGCACTACCTGTTTTTCTTGTGACCTATCTTATCTGCTTCTAAAGAAACTCCACCTCTTCATTTCTAGATTCGCTTCTTCCCACACTCATAGACTCAGAGAATCACAGAAGTCTAAGTCTTCGTGCACTTCCTAGACATGCTGGAAACTTCTTGAGGGTAGGGCTTATTATTTTCTAATTGTGGGGAAGTGGGAATGCTGAAAGTCTAAGAGGGCACCTCACCTGCCTTCCAACATCATCTCATCTCCATCCACACAAAGCACATGGTTCTTTCTACGTGGGCTCCCATAATGCCGAGGGCCCTTGTCCCCAGGGCAGTGCACAGAGCTGGGCCTTCTGGTGTGTTATGTAATTCCTACAAACCACCCACCTCCTCTAGGCTGTGTCGTCCCCTGCATAAAAAGGAGGGAGGGATACGAATGCCAGCCCTTTCTGTCCTAAGAATTGGGAGAGTGAAGATCCAGGCATGAGAGCCCAGTGAGTTCCCAGAAAGAATGGGACTTGTCGATTACTGAAGCATCAGACAGAACAGTGGTTCTCTTCATAGTTTAATGTTATATTTGCAGCATAAATAAGGCACAATATATGTCAGGGCAAGTTTGGGAGAGGGAGAAGGCATGGCTGGGGGTAACTGCTATGTGGCGAGGGGAAAGGAGGCGGGACGGGAAGGGAGAATAGAGCGAAGCCTCTGCCTCAGCCCCGTCCCAGGAGACTGTGAGAACCTGCTCACAGGGATCATGCTGAAGTGGGTCGGGGGAGAAAGGGAGAAGACAGTTTTGTAACAAAACAGCCTGTAGCACTGCATCCTCCTGCCTGTCAAAGTCTACCACTGGGGACTGGGGAAACCCAGACCCAGAGTCAAGTTCCTTAATGACATGGAGAGGTGTTGCTACATGTCAAAGATATACAGATGAACAGAGATATAACCATAGATACACACAGCTTTCTTTTCAACAGATACTATGTCAGGAGACTATGGCTTCCACTGCTGGGGCTGGAGGCTCATCTCCCTGCCTGAAAGGTGTGTTGGGGGGTGGGGTGGGTGGGAGAACAGGACAGCTGGTCCTTCCTGTAACAAAGAACATGGAGTAATCCATCTGCAAGGAAGTATATGGGCCAAGTCCTGTCTGGATTCATGCAGGACAGGTTTTAGGGGTAAGTAAAGGAAGACAAATCTAGATTTTGAGATGAGTGATGCTGTTATTGTTTTAATGGCAGTGGAGGGAGGGACTGGACAAAATGGAAAAATGTTAGTGCTAAGGCAGAGGATGGTACACCCTACGAGGATTTCCCAGCTTGCCCCTAAGGCAATGGTTCTTAAACTTCAGTGTGTATGAGAATGGCTCTGAGTGCTCGTCGGAGCCCATCCCCAGAATTTCTGATTTAGTATGTCTGGAATGGGGCCCGAGCGTGCAGGTCTAACAAGTTCTCAGATGATGGTCCTGCTGGTCCCGGACCACATTCTGAGAACCACTGCCCTAAGGGAAAGTCAGTGAAGCTAGTGCTCATAGCCATTTCTTTAAGCTAAAACGTCACTCACCAGAAGTTAATGCTGATGAGACTGCTCTAGGCTACCAGCCCCCATTAAAAAGAGAAACTCTAGCAGCTGTGATACAAACCTGCATCTGCAAAGGACGTAAGCTGCCTTAAGCTGCCCTACACTCCCCAGGCCCTTCTCATTCCGGGGAAGAATTTTACCCCAAACAGAGAAGAATGAACTGGTCTGGAGGGTGGGGATGTTGGCCAGCACCATCTATGCTCACTCCTGCTTGACCCTGGGTGGTGAGCATTTAGGCCTGTGCGCACCTGCATGTGTGCATGCGGAAACAGAGAAATCAGTTCTCTACGACGAAGGGAATGATTAGGGTTGTGGGAGGCTGAAGTAGGATTGGGGGTGCAGGATCCTTTAATTTGCCTTAGGAGCCTCACCTGTCCTGCTCTTCCCTCCACCCATGTCAAACAAGTCTAAAGAAAGCAGAAAGAGCGTATCAACAAAGGCATATGTGATATACAGCTAGAAGGACTGGATTCTAAACAGACTGGTTATGACATTAAAAAAAAAAAAAAGAGTACATTTCCTTCCTGTGTATACAATGTATAATATTACTGAAAAATAATGACTTGGGGTGGGAAGGAAGTTAAGAGAGAAATGGGATCTTTGTGGGGAAGAGCCGTCTCAGGGCTAGCACCTTTCAAGGAGCCTCTCAGTGTGAGCAAACAGGGGCGGGATACTTTGGTGTCTGCTTGGTGGTTCAGGCTGTATTGGGGTGTTGTTATGGTTAAGCACCCTGTCTACCAGGATGGGTGGTGCTGGAGGGCAGTAAATCAGGAAAGGAACTGGAACAACAGAACAGGCATGGGAAGGCAGCAAAATGCGTTTCAGCTAGGCCATCTCCTCTTTACTGCCACCAAGAGTGTATAGTCTAGGGCTTAGGGCCAAGGAGAGGAGCAGAGGCCAAAGGAAGCCAGATTTGGGACGTACAACCAACAGGGAAAGATGAAGCAAAGGAGATCCTACTCTTTCTCGTCCTTCCTAATAGAGTGGGAGGCTTTCTCAGACTTTTCAACTCTAAACAAGCTTTAAGACAACGTGGCATAAAGTCTGTGAACCAGAAGACCTGGTTCTGGCCCCTTCCTCTATGGCCTTGCGTCTCTAGCAGCTGTGTCCTTGAAGCGAGTACGAGGCCTGAGTCCTGTGTTCACTTAGAAAAGTCCCAAGGCATCAATATTCCCAGCCCCTTTCAGAAAATGTCTTCCCTTAAAAGTGAAAGTGTTAGTTGCTCAGTTGTGTCTGACTCTGCGACCCCACGGACTACAACCTGCCAGGCTCCTCTGTCAATGGAAGTTTCCAGGCAAGAATACTGGAGTGGGTAGTCATTCCCTTCTCCAGGGGATCTTCTTGGCCCAGGCATAGAACTTGGGTCTCCTACATTGCAGATCTTTCACCATCTGAGCCACCAGGGAAACCCATTCCCAGCCCCTTTCAGAATGTGCCCTCCCTTAGGCCCACAGGGAGGCCATGGTCCTTAAGAAGGAGTAAGCGACACCCTCCATGTTTGTTCTGGTTCAGAGGGGTCTGGAAGGCAAGGAGCAGGGGCGAGCGGCCACACAGTTGGCTGCACTAACAAGGTAAGTGTCATTCTCCTTGACTACAGGAGAGGCTTCAGCTCAAGCAATTGCTCTGCCTTCTCAGTGAGACCAAGGACCAACAAGAGAGCTGGATGGGGTGGGGGAGGTCCTGTCGTGTTCCTTCCACATCTCACTGCTGCTTTACTAAGGTTCTGCCAATGCCTCTCAGGTCCCCAGGACTAATTTCCCACTGATGAAAATAAAATAAGGACTTAGACATGGGGACTAAGAAATTAAGACCCTCTCCATAAATTAGACATCCTACCCAGGGAAGACCAGCAGGGACTCCAACTTCCCTCAAGGTCAAGCAGTGAGGCAGCACACATGTGCAGTGCCAACCTGATTCTTAACTTGAAGAACACTTGACTAAAAGGGGAAGAAGAATAGCCAAGGGTCTTATGAAGGCTCCTTAGGAGTCATATACTCAGTCAAGCTTTAGGGCAAGGCTACTAGCAGGAAATCAAGATAACAAAAAAATGAAACACAGCTAAGGCAGGAGAAAATCCCAGAGAGCAACCATCTAAAGGAAATGTCCTGAGCATAAGTATGGCTGTGAAGTTTTAAAGGCAAGCAGAGTCCCCGGAGGTGGTAACCTGCATCCTGACCATCTGTCGTGCCGTTTGCTAGTCTGAGTCACCTCAGGGGTTATTCCTGTTGGGTCCTAGGTGGGGGAGGATGAGAAAACCATGTTTTCCTCTCCTTTCTCTTCACCAGGTATAGCTTCTTCAGCACCAGCTCTGAACACAGGAGGGGAAATTAAAAACAAATGCAGTAAACATGTCATCTGGCTGGCTCACCAGTTTATCAGTCTGAGGAGACAGGGAGCTTGTAGTTTAGACCATTTCCTCATTCCTCTCTGACAGCCAATTTTGGAAGATAAGAAAGGAAGCTGGCAGTTACTCTGTATGCATGTATAAGATGGAGGTAGGAAAGAGAGAGAGAGAAAGGGACATTACTGGCTTGGGCAGATGGCAGAAAGTGGCTCTGGGACAACTGGAAGGGATTCATACTGAAGGGCTATTAAAGCTGACCTATCTATCCACAGGCCTCTGGCTCTGGACTGCTTCCTATGGCCTTGGTAGAAATTGCATAGTTCAGGGCCAAAGGAAGACGAGAAGTCTTAATGGGGAAGAAAGAGGGGCAAGAGGGATAAAAATGTCCCCCTGCAACCCAGCTTTTCAAAGTAAGAATGGCTGAGAGCAATAGTCACTAATTTCCCAGCAGGTTGGACCTTTCAACAAACAGGGCTCTTTGGTGGACATCAGTATTCCACCTCCCCTTCCGGCGCCTCCCTCCAACCTACCTCATACTCAAGAAAACCACTCCGGACCTTCACTTGGATGCCTCAGAGTCCTGGGGCTTAGACTACAGAGAAGCATCACATCCAGGGGGCAGAGAGCAGAAAAGAGCGAAAGAAACACTACAGAACCAGGAGACCTAGAGGCTAGGCTTGGAGTCTGGTGAAAGAGAAAGAAGGTAGATCCAGTGAGGATTATTTGTGCATATAAGACCCTTGCTCATAAAAGAAGATAGACATGTGAGGCTAAGAGATGGGGGTGAGGGGAGTGAGGGTGCACAAAAGTCCCCCACATGACAGCTTCCAGAGGGCTGCATCAGAATCAATTACAGAAGAGAGACAGAGGCAGGGATGCAGGCAGGGGGACGGAGAGAGAGAGAGACACAGGAGTGTAAAGATGACCAAAAGGAGTATGTATGCTTTGGCTGGTATACTGTTGTAAAACATCATCAATCCAGTCACCTGATGGAACAAGCTTTAAAACTACATTGTTCCTCTCTGTCCTGGAGGATAGAGCAGGGAGGGGCAGGGAATCAGCCAGTCAGATCCTGGGCGTTTTCTCTTTGCTACTGAGCGGTATCTAATAAGGCCATAGATGAGGTTGCTAAGGCTTAGTGGGAAGTGGAAAAGACCCCACCACTAGACTGGGAAAACTCAAGAGAGAAAATGAGGTACCCAAATAGCTCTGAAATAAATGAGAAAGTACTAGAACTTTTAAGGTTTCATTTCTTTTTGTTTTTGGTGGCTGGTAGGGAGAAGGGCTAAAGTTTATGGAAGAGCTGGGAAATACTGCTATTTCATACATCAGAGGTAACCTTACACTCTCTGTAAGTCAATGTTTTAACTAGAATTTATGAGGGGAAAATGGGACCAATAAGCAGCTACTGGGAGACAAAGTCCTGAGTCCACGGGGTGGCTAGGGATGGGTCAACAGTGATATGCCGTCAACTCTAGCCTCCCTCTACCGAGCAGGAAGTGGCATGCTGCTAAGGATCAAGAAGGTATCATCCATGGCTTG